CATTTCCCATAAAAAAACCACTTCGAGATTTTGCTCAGACAAGCGTCAGCAAGGTAAACAAAGCAAGGTGAGGACTGCTAATGCTGCCGGGGGTCTGGATTCAGAGGCCGTGCCAGGCAGAGAGACCTCTGCAACCCAGAGCACCTTTATGGTGGTCTTGATAAGCACCTGTGTGCTTCCAGGGTCCAGGTGGCTCGTCAGCTAAGTTTTACCTGCTTTACAAACCTGGGGCCTGACATCCATTTGCAGAGTTTTTAAAGGAACAATTCTATAGGCACGTGGCTGGCCCCAGCACTTAACGTTAAAAAGTGAATAAAACCTCAAAGGAAAAGTGCTTCTTCTAAGACAGACCACAGAAATATGCCTTGGATATAATAAGTGGCAATCTACATGGGGGGGGATTCTTTTTTTGAAGAAAAAAACATTGTGGCAATGTTAACCCAGAATAGCTATTGATCTGTGGTGCTTCCCTGCACTTTGTATGACAGGCTGGTACATGAAATGGTGACCAAGGACAGAGACGGCAACCTTGCTTTCAATTTTCTAGGTTGTGTGCAGCTACAAAGAGGGCTGGGAAGCCTGTATTTTTCTTTGTAGAAGCATATTTGCACTTTGTCCTTTCCCAGGCTTTCCTGAGAATGCTAACAGTATTCGAGGACCGGAGGCAAGTGCTGAGTTATGATCAAAATTCACTTACTGAGCAGAGAAAATCGTGTATTTACCATGCTTCTATGGGTCACCTTCATTCTCAATCTTATTATGGCGATTACTCAGTAACCTGGGATTCCTTCACGCAAGCCGATGCCTTTCTTTCTAAATGGAAAGCGGAAGCCTTTCTGGGAATGCAGACACGCTGGTGAAGCCATGACACCCCGGTGAAGCCATGACACCCCTTAAGCCCCCCTGGATTGAAAGGGGCATTTAGAGCAGCTAGACTGAAACACGAGGGATCGGAACTCCGGGGACCTCTGCTTTAAGCACGGGGCAGGCAGAGGGAGAATGCATGGCAGAGCCCTCTCCATGGAGTACAAATGACACTGTGTTGCCCTGTGTCTGTCTTTCTATCTCTACCTGTACAGATGGCTCCTTAGACAGACTGGGATTCCAGATAATGCCCCCCCATTTCTCCTTCCCACTTCATGAAAGGTGACCACCAAGAAGCCAGAGTTCTTGGCTTGCTGCTCTCTGCTTCATTCACAGAAGCTGCAGAAATGTGGCTAGCAGGCTTCAGGCCAGCACTGGCGAGGGCTCCAGCTCCTGGTCCTGATTCAGCAGTCCTTTCTCCGCATGTTTTTTGCTTATTTCCAAGTCCTTTCTTTCCTGGCTCCTCTCCCATCGGCACTAACCCCTTCTAGAATGCCCTGTCCTGGGCAGCTCTCCCTACTCCCACCCCATCTCTAGGATGTCCTTCCAGGGGTGGGACGGCCAGTCCCCACACCCAGGCCTTTCCAGGGAAGGGCCTGTAGCAGTAGCCAGAGCCCCTCGAGGGTCAGTTCTTAGCGCTTCCCAAGCAGACAGTACCTGTGCTGAGGCTGGCTGGATGACTTTCTCCTCTTGACCACAGCCCTTGATAAACAGGTTTCTGAAAGGCTAGCAAAAAGCGTTCTGGCAAACTTCTGAAGGCCCTTGCTAGTACCAAAGTCATTGCTAAGACCCCCAGTGCATCTAGAACAGAGGCTATAATTTCCCCCACTTGTCCTGGAAGGCTACTCATGCCTCCATCCAGCTAGTCCTAGACCTCTTCTTTTTTTTTTTTAAGGCATATTTGAGACAGAGAGTACACTGCAAGGGGGGGGGGCGGGGGGGGAGGAGGAGTAGAGGGGAAGGGAGAGGGAGGGGGTAAGAATCTCAAGCAGACTTTCCACTGGGTGCAGAGACCGTCACGGGGCTCAATCCCACCACCCTGAGATCATGACCTGAGCCAAAACCAAGAGCCTGATGCCCAACCAACTGAGCCACCCAGGTCCCCCCACACACCTCTTCTTTATTGTACTCATTAACCTTGGGCTTGCAGACAGAAACACATACACACACATACACAGATATACACACATCGGCACGCATGCACGTACAAAATGGGAGGGGCCTGTGGGACAACAGTGGCTTTAATTTCAGTGCCTGACTGACCCTAAATCTAAAATCTGGGCATTCAAGTACCATTACTTGAAACATCCACATGCCTTTCATTCTAAGACCAACCTGACCAGTGTGGATGAATGTGTGTTGAGTGACGGGTGAAGGGGAGGGGGCTGCATGGAGGAGGAGGGGGACCACCAAAGGAGAGAACCGAGGAGGAGAGATGTGTGGCAAAGCCAAACACCGCCTCTGCTGTTTGTGGGATAATCTTTGGAAATCCCCTTCTCTGGGGCTTCCACTGACTCTGCTTGACACAGTGCAGCAGGGAGCTGGATGAGAGCTAAAGACCCGAACATTGTTTTTAGAGATTTAGAGGTGGCCTTTGGAGTGTTCAGCCTGAATACCTGTTTTAAAGCAGTTCAAG